ATAATGATATCATGATAATTAAGCACTATTTAATGATAGAACTTTAGTGATTAGAACTAAAACTTGGTAACCATGTGTGAATGCATGTTTGTCATTTTAACTGAACTTAGGACTGGTGGTGATGCAAAAGATATTGTTGGTCATTCAGGGTTTCTGTAATAAAAAATAGATAATAGTAATTATTATTAAAAGATAATACTACTACTAATTCTACTACTATACTAACAATATACAACTCACTAAGAATTAATGAGCTGCTGGGTTCATGAATATTAATCACGGTGTCAGCGTTCGCTCGAACTGATTTGCTGAAATCAAATCAGGGATGGTAATAGGTGAGCGCCAGCCAATGAGATTGCCGTTCGCGCATTAGTTCTGCCCACTACCGGAGAAACCGGCATATCTGCTTGTTCTTAAAAGCTGAATAATTCTAAATAAACTCTGTTGTTTTGACAGGAAAATACAACAAAGAATATCGTTTACATGTAGCACGTCGATTCAGCGTGGTATCTCGCTCTCTCTCTTTGCATGTGTGAGAAACAGCACTATCAGCAAAGTGATAGCGAGGCGTGCGCCTTCACACTAAAGTTTACGGTGCATCAAATACAGGTACGCGTGCATACATTGAGCTGAATTGAAATAGTACAGATTGCTTGATGGAGAGCAAAACTCTGAAGCACTCAGTGTTCAGCGAGTGAAAATATATCTATGCTAAACTTGTAATTATCCTCTAACATGCACACAGGCGAGTAAAATCTAAGAATTTATTAGCCAATGGCTAATGTTAGACATTATATAGTCGCCCAGGGTGAAGATTTAGTCGCATATGCGAGTTATTTAGTTGCAATGTAAAGGGTTGACAGCTTAGTTACAATACGATAGAACATTCTGGTTTAATGAGATTCTGCATTCAGCATGACTGCCAGCTAGAGTTATGGAGTTACGTCAGACTGTTAATACTGTCCAAACCTGTGAGCTCAGGGCTTAGGTGAGAGCCAAAGTGAGACTGACATTTCATTCCTCAGCAGGTGGGAGCTGATAGTGCTGCCCTCCCATTCAGCACACCCTTGAACTCCTCTGACTTCTGAAGGAGAAGGAAACTATTACAATGAATCAGTTGGAGCCATCTCAAAGGACCAGGGCCTATGACTTGGCTGGTCTGGTGGATTGAGTCTAAGATTGACCGGTCAGATGACGTCACACTCAATGAAAGGCCCATTGCCCCGTCAGTCATCATTCATTATACTGTGAAGTTTCAATTTCTACCTAGCCAATGCAATTACTGGCCCTCTGCAGGGGCTTTGACGGTACTCTGAAGCTTCAATTCCCCTAAGTGAGAACCTCAAGCAGTGGTTCTCATTCAAAGCAACCATTTCACTCGAGTAGTGTTTGTATTAAAGCGGCGTAGCTGACACACACACAGGTGCGTGCCACCACAGGGCCTCAGGGTGAAAGGGTGAGTTTCATTTTCACCTTGACTGCTGCTGTTTATGAACACAATAATGGCACCTTCAGTTTTTATAGCGCTCTCCCAGACTTTAATTTCCCACGCAGCCATGCTGATTTGATTCAAGTTTTTTTTATATAAAGCACTAATCTCGCACGATAGATCATCACAGAGCTCTCAGAGTCGAGATGAAGAGAAAGTATCTCTCTTATCGTTCATATGGGGGTAATCAGCCAACAACTCATCCATCTATATGCAATCTCTATGTTCTATATATCTCTAGCTGTTATATAACATTTGATGTACTCGTAAGCATAGTGAAAGGCTAGTAGGAGTCAAGACCAGACCTCCAAGTCCCAGGCCAGTATCATAGCCCTAAAGACTCAGACCAAGACTAGACCCCTTGAGACCTGTCGGTCCAAGAACTATTTTAAGGAATTTAAAAAGAGAAATGTTGAATTTATTGACTGTAAAATGAGACCCAGATCCATTTACATGAATTATTTTAGCAGACGATTTTATTCAAAGCGACATAGACATGAGGGATACAACAATGCAATTTACTGTAGGGGAAAAGGAAGTTGAGAAGTTCCAGAACTGCTCAGAAAAGTACCAAAAACTCGTCTGGTTTTCTGTATGTAGAAGTACTTTCCCTCCATGCAATACAAAATACCTCTAGTTTTGTTTTCTTCCAGCTGCGCTGCATTTTCTGGGCTGCTCTCTTTAGGGCGCGAGTGTGCCTGTTATACCACGGTGTCAGACTGTTTTCCTTAATCTTCTTTAAGCGTAAAGGAGCAACAGCTAGAAAAGAGAGAGTCAATAGTTTCTGTTACACCATCAAGTTTTTCTGAGATATAGCATATGCTGAGGAATTGAGACTAATCAGGAAGATTATTTAGAAAGCAGACCTTTGTTGTAGAAGTGATGGTTCTACCATATTTGTAACAAGGAGTTGAATTTGCAGCTTTAGCTATGTGGAGTATACACAAGACTAGATAATGATCGGAGATATCATCAGAATTTCAATGCCATTGACATCAATTCCATGTGATTGTAATAAATCTATAGTAAGATTATAGCCCCTTTCACACATATAGTCTTTTCTAGTAAATACCGGTAAATTACCATTAAGAGATCATGTGTGAACAGGATCTTTTCAAAAATACTGGTAATGCGCTCTGTGTGAACGCAGAACGAGATTACCGGTATGAGCACGTACGAGTTTAGAACACTGAACAGCTGACGTAAGACTTTGGGCCAATCATAACATTCTGACGCAGATGATGCATTTACTCTGTGCTGTTTACGGAAGTCAAAGAAATGTCTAAAGTCGTCTAATACGATGTCTCTGGTCCAAAAGCAGCTGCATGAATATGAACATTTGACACAAAAGTGAAAACATCAACAAAAACACTGACCGCATATACCCCTCCATGTCAATTTACCGGTATTTTGAAATTGATGTGTGTATGGTGCTTTACCGGTAAAAAGATGGAATGTCCTTGCCTGTGTGAACAGCGCATTTTTGTGTTTACCGGTAAAGTCGTTCCGGTAATTTTACGGCAATTTACTAGAATTACTGTGTTTGTGAAAGGGGCTTATGACAATGAGTACGTTTACATGGACAACAATAATCCGATTTGAACACGATTAAGACAATAATCTGATTAATAATCTACCATGTAAACCATGATTTTTGATTACCTTAATCCGGCTAAAGTCATATTCAAAGTACATAGAAATCGAATTAAGACATGTGGAGTATTCCCATTTTAGTCGCATTACTGAAGTGCAGTATAGACATGTAAACATCTTAATCAAATTATTACCGCCGTGTAGGACTTTTAACGCATTTTGCGTCAGGATACACACACGGCAGTGCTCAACCGTTTGACGGCAAATAAAAGAGCTTCAACACCGCCATCGTCTGTATGCACATACAAATAACTGCAAAACACCATAATCATAATATTGGCTTATTTAGAATAAGGTAAATAATTAGATTACTGATGTCCATGTAAACATAGTCAGTGAGTAGGCCCTGACATGTGTTGTCTAACCCCAATAGAATTTACAATGTATATAAATGCTGATCCCAATGCATTTTTCATTATCTACATGGATATTAAAATCGCGGACAATTAAGACTTTATCTGCAGCCAGCACTAACTCAGCAAACTAGAAAATCAGCAAATTCTTTGATAAAGTCTGTATAGTGCCCTGGTGGCCTGTATACAGTAGCCAGCACAAACGTCAGTAGGGATTTATCATTACCACTTATTGCACTAGATAATGTTATATAAAGCACCATAAAGGCCTAGACAGGAAGCTGACATTAAAAAAACTGGTGGCAAAGAAAGCCAACTATGGTGCGGGGTGCTTGAACACACCTCAAAGACTACAGCCAGTGGTCAACTAGCATGTACTTTCTGCACATGCCTGAAAGACAAAAGAACTCTCCATACCAGCAGATGGCAGTAGTCTGGATTCATCATTTAAAAAAAGAGAAATCATTAAATCTAGGACTGCAGATAAAAAAGTAAACAACGCATCACTTGCTGACCATTTTCATGTCTATCTTGATCGAGATAGATGGGTTCATAATATACTTTCAAGTTGTTAATGGCATTGGCATTGTCATAGTGATAGTTGTGTCCTGGCGTTTGTCTTTTTTTTGTTTTTGTTATCAAGCACTGGTTCACTAAGCTGAACAGCTGAACATGCTCAATTATCCAAACACCATCAACAGTGGTCTGACTAGTGTGCAGGACACACCGCAAAAACTAGGCTGACAGACTTTCAACAACAGCCCATTTTCAAACACAGACCAGACCAAGATGTAATGAAGAAGTAATTAAATCCAGAGAAGGGCCACATTTATGTGATCTTAAGAGGTCTCCAGACCAAGACCACAAAATGAAGACTCTAGAGTCTCTGTAGTCACAAGTTTAATTTAACACAAACTAGTACAGCATGATGTTAGTCATTTTTTTTTGTGGGGAGAAGAAGAGGTTCTTGAGAATGTCAGAAGGGATGAATTTTTTTTTTCTTGAATTTCTGAATTAAGACCAGTGACTGGCTGGCAGGGGACTGAATTGAAAGAAAACACAGCTATAAAAATTCCATTTTTAACCAACTGTTCACATTCACTTCAAATGTGTAGGTGTCCTGAGAGCCAAGCGTGTGCTTCTCTTGCTTGTGAATAATTGTCTGCTCTGCCAAGAGGCTCTTTCAGAGAGATGCATCGTGAGGTAGCACCATTCGTTCCCAGCCATATCTGATGTGTCTATGCATGAGAAGCCCACCTGAGGGCTGAAGCTGGCAAAGAAAGCAGACATTTGAGCCTCCTTAAAAGTTCATGCTCAAAGTCCCTGTTGGAGAGCCAGAATTTCTCTGGAGACTTCAGTGCTGATCAACATTAATAATAGGGTGTAGTTTTGTCATGAGATATGGATATTGCTGCTTTACCTGATAAATCAACTTTCTTCAGGTGGATTGGGGTGCAACATTTGACAATATAAACACTCACTTTGTCTCATTTGTTTGTTCACAGCCAGCGAAAACTGTCATGACTTCCACCCCATGTTTTTCACCCACGACCGCTCGTTTGAGGAGTTCTTTTGCATCTGTATCCAGCTTCTCAACAAAACATGGAAAGAGATGAGAGCCACTTCTGAAGACTTTAATAAGGTGAGCCGTAACCCTTTTGATTGTGACCCTGCACCTTGGTCTAATTCTACATCCGTCATCCTTTTCCTTATTTTTTCTTTGCTCGTTCTATTTCTCCTGAGTGTTCTGTTTCATTCTCTCATCTTCCCCTCAAATCTTTCTGGTCAACCAATATGGATTTTGACTGGCCGATGCTAGGGTTGTCATGATACCAAAATTTCAGCCGTCGATACCAGTATCAGTCAAATTTGATACCAGTTTCGGTACCATAGCGATATCTAGTATGCTATTGAACACAGCACTTAAATTTGATATTTTTATTAAAATTTCACTGTTTTAAAGGGGTCATATGATGTTGCTAAAAAAGAACATTATTTGGTGTATTTGGTGTAATGAAATGTGTTTATGCGGTTTAAGGTTCAAAAAACACATTATTTTCCACATACTGTACATTATTGTTTCTCCTCTATGCCCCGTCTTTCTGAAACGCGTAGATTTTTACAAAGCTCATCGGTCTGAAAAGCGAGGTGTGCTCTGATTGGCCAGCTATCCAGTGCATTGTGATTGGCCGAATACCTCAAGCGTGAGACGGAAATGTTACGCCCCTTACCACATTGTGATGATGCAGGCCGGAGCAATGATTCAAAAACATTAAAACCCATTATAAACAAGGCATTTGTTGCATCCAGTGGGGACATAATTACGAATTAT